TGACACGTGAGTATAGATAAGAGCCACCAATCACCTCCTCCTTCTCCTCCTCCTCCTCCTCCTCTGCCTCTCGCAACATATCATTACTGTTGCGCAATCCTGCCGGCTCTTGCGCAACCCGCTCCAACGCTCCAACTCCTTGCTCTGTCCTGTTCGCCTGATTCCGAAGCATCGGAGATCAGTTTCACGAGCATATTTTTATTTTTACTCTGTGCGATTCTTCTTCGCGACAACAACCACACGCGATGACGGCAAAAAGGAAAATCAAAGTAAATCGAAAAGTCAGCTTTGGGTTCACTGCCTTTTTTATATGCACTTGTTCGCTCCTAAGTACGAAATTTTAGGAATTATTTATGGCGAATTTATTAATCGACACGTGGCTCGTAGCTTCTGGCTTATTGCATCAGATAACGTCCCATGGCGCGCACTGCCATTTATCTTTATTATCCGAACTCTTTAGTTTTCTTTTTTTCTCAAATTCTCCGCATCGATTTTTGCAGTGCCCTCCATTCGCGAAATCACGAAATCACGAAATTCCTTGTAATCGTTGCTTTGTACAAAGACTCGTTCTAAGACGAATCGTTTTAGAAATCGAAAAATACTTGCTCTGTTTTGTTACGTTCTCAGTGCTCGCTCGCTCAGCTCGATACTTCCAAGACTTTAATCGTGCGGGCCCTCCTGGCTTCGGTTATAAATATCGCCTATGCAACCTCAGCCTTTAGGCGTCTTGGAACGAGGCTGCCCCTTCGATTCGCTTCCGTGTCGTATCTTCCGCATTTGCCAGATTTTCTCTCTCCTTCTGTTGTCTGAAAATCAAACTACATTTTGCTACTTATACCTTCGTCCTAGACTTTGAATCTGTCCTCTTCTCTGGTTATCAGCAATCGTGATCCATATCGATGCAGCGTGGCAAGTTGCATCAGTTCCCGTCTTCGTTCCTGCGCGATGAACTCTTGTTGCTCGGCGCCCAAATTGCTGTCGTTGGAAACGGCCTTTAACACGCGAACAAAAGGTTTTCAACAGCTTGACGCTACTTATGGTTGAATAGCCCAGAGTACCTGGTGTGCTCATCGCTATACTTTATACATGGCTGCCAACCTGCCCTACGGATCGATGCAGGACTTCTGGAGAAATAGGCAGGCAGGCTGGCAGGCGTAGACACACTTGCCGACTGGCTGATGCGCGCTCGGGAACTCTGAAGGGTGCATCCAAAAATGTCGTGCATCATCCCTTTCAGCCCGTCATTGCTAAAGAGAGATGGAAAGTCACTCGCGTACTCGGCGTACACGTACATGTACATCGTCTAGTGCGTCTAGTGCGTCTTCTGCGTCTTCTGCCCGTTGCTTCTGGAAACTCGCCGCGCAGGATAAATGGAAAATGAGAGCCTTGCAAATAGAACACTCCAAATAGACTGAAAGAAATTTAATGGAGTGAAAGAGGAGCTTGTAAAAGGGAGACTCAGGTTAAATAGCATTAATCAGAGTACAGTTACGTTTAACGAGTTATTAAATAATTAAGTTAAGCGAGTCAGTGTCCAAATAAAGTATTTTAATTGCACTGCCGAAAGGGAGGAATATAACGAGATTTGAAAAGTCACGGTTTTCCCACCACAATTTCTAGCAGACGGTGAATACGCTTGGAACTATCTGATTCTTATTGTTAGTCGTCAACGTAGGATTGTCCGAAGGACAGACGTAGAAGGCAGAGCCTAAGACACGGCAGAGAGAGAGAGAGAGAGAGAGAGAGAGAGAGAGAGATGGTATAGCATGAGGAGAGACGTGAGAAGGTAGCCTCAAACTCAGATAGATAGCCAACTTTAGGTGGACGGTACACAACAGCCAGTAGCAAGCGCGACTCACTGGGAACGACCACATCCAGGAAAATGTACTCAGGTTTAGAGCAATACTCATTTCCGGAGGTTTCTAGCAGGCTTGCACTTAAGGAGTCGTGAACGTAAATTGCAACACCGCCGCCCCCTCTCCCGATCCGATCACAGCGAAACAGACAGTACCCGTCAAGGCTCACAGCGCTGTCAGGAGTGTGTGGTTTAAACCACGTTTCAGATACAGCAATGCAGTGGAAGAAACGGTTTTTGAAATAGTGCCGGAACTCATCAATGTGAGCAGCAACTGATTGAGCATTGACGTGGCACAGACTGATCCCGGTAGGCAGGCGCAAGACTTCCTATGCATGATCTCACGTATTCTAAAGCTCACCTGCCAGTCATGGTCAAGGACACCGTAAAAGAGACACTACCGCAAGAGCGGGGAAAGGGAGAAGCCGGCTGAACTGGATCCGATATTCTGCCAAGAGACGAAGCGTCGTTGACGCCGGCGACAACGACGACAACAACGACAACGACGCGATAGGAAAAGTGAGAAGAAGCAAGAATGGAATAATATAGATGAGCAAGATAAGAATGAAGTCGGAGTGAGTAATGAGGATGACAATGACGATGGAGCAGCCGAGCGGACAAGACGTCCATGAAACAATGTAAGGCCTTGCGATCTTTGGCCTCGTGACAGCCGATTAAATGTAACGAAGACCGTTTGAGCAAGTTAAAAGGTGCATTGATGTCAATAATCAGTTGAGGCCGCCACGCGGGCCTTTGTCTCCTTCCACTCTGTCCACTCTGTCCACGTCTCCAGAAACTCATAGAACTCATCTCTCAGAAGCATTTTTCCAATCAGCGGATGTTTGACAACGTGGCAAAGACACGCCTGCCAACTTAAATGTGTATTTTCGTTCGGAGGACGCAGAGACGTGATCCATAGAGGGATTCTGTTTTATGTTTCATGTTAATCAGTTTTGCCAACCGTATCAATGTCAGTACAGCCAGGCGGCCAGCGCAGCAGCAATCGTATCGCAATTTTCAAGCTCATAAACCTCCGTTCCGCGCATTCCTCTTGCTGTTCGCCTTTTGTAACGTTACGCAGACTCAGCAGTCCCAGCAGTCCCAGCAGTCCCAGACCAGCCGACGCTCCAGCTCCGGGCTTAGCACTTACTCGGAAGTCTAACTTGAGCATCAGCAGCGCGCACCCTAACCACCCTAACCACCCTAACCACCCGAAGATAACGTGGTGAAGCCTTATGAGGATAACTTAAGGGTCGTTCGGTTAAGAGAAACTGATTCTACGTGACAGTACGACCTACCGGATGGAACTTCCGCGCTTCTTCGGACCAGGCAGATCAGGTTTAGCTGGGTGGGCGGCTGGTACAGTCATCCAAGGATATTTTTAAATCCTCGGCAAAAGATGACAAGTAGGGCTTGAAAATCAAACAGTAAATTCGAGCACGGATTCATTCTCATCCCCTTCTGTCTCATTCTCCATGTCTAATTTTCTTTTTCCTTTCATCTTCTTATCTTTTCTTCCCTATTCTTGGTGTTCGCGTCTACGCGTCCGACCCCTCTAGTTGCTGGATGGACGGGGATTAACACTCGACGCGGTTGTTTAATCAATGAAATGCGCGGGGTCGCCTAAGAACCCACCCCGGACTGCGGCCAACGTGCCTGTAGGAGCCCCTCCTCTTCAGTCGCACAGCAGCTATTCATCAGGGGTGGATTTTTAAAAGGCACGAGGCTGCGATGACACCCCCCAGAAACAATGCCACTTACATTGAAGTTGAAATAGCGCAAGTGCGTGCACGGCACTTTTGTCCCGGCCGTTCCGCACGCACCCTCGTCCCGGGTCCTCAATCCCATAAATGACACTTCCACCGAAATGCTCCTCTGCAATCCCGTCGAAGCATTTCCTGGAATGAGGTTGTCCAAATCGTTCCCAAAATCAACATGGGCAATCTTTAGTTTTTTTTATTCGTATCTTACACCCTGTGCTAAGAAGCCAGGCTGCACAATTTCATATCCAGAAAACGTCGACTGCACCCAAGCGCGACTGGCGTCTGTGGCGGTGAACGACGTGGTCAACTACGAAATCAACGTACATTCGGATAGGGCATGTAAGCAAGTGTGCGAATGAAGGCGCACGCGCACTGCGACCGACCAGTGCAATGTAAAGGGGCAAGGGGCACACGTACGGCGCAGCCTGAGCCTCGCCGGGACAGCTGACGAGCGCCTAGCAACAGGCGTCAGGGGTTGCCAATCCCCAGCCTATTTTCCCTACCCCTTCGCCATGGACGTAATCCAAGTCCTCGTGTTCCACCGTAGACGGCTCGAAATCTTCTGTCATGTACTTTTCTGTCGTTCTGCTTACCTCACTGTTTACTCTGCTAATTTACATCCACATGTGTCCAACGGACTTGAAATTACGCTTGAGTATTGATTACCTGGGTCTCTGCAGGCTCGTATTGTTCCGCGCGATTCCGGAAATTCGCGAGAGTTCAGAACTGCTGATAGGCTGTTTGTTCTTTTTCTTGATCCAATTTTCGTGACGTATGGGTGAACCCAGGACAGAAGGCTTAGAGAGATAAGGCAGAGTGGATTCATTGACTTATATTTAACCCAACCGACTTCTTGTCTTCGGAGTTTAATGTTTAGAGGATTCTTGGACGTTGCAGGTCATGAAGAGGAGATCTGGCTTCCGGTAGTGGGACTTTATGTCATGACTTTACCGCAGACATTATTATTTCAGTAGCTACATTACTTCTTGTATCATCGACCACGTGTCTCTAGACGATACGACTATAGTCCTTTACTAATCGATATAATGAATGTCAATACATTCCAACTGCGCGAATCGATTCAATCTTCAAGATTATCTTTTCCTATTTCTTCCTTTCGACTTGTCGTAGCATACACTTTTTGTTTGTAAAGTTTCCAAATTGCATATCAAAAAATATCACGAACGAAGATTTACTTCCGACTTTTATTTATCTCTCTCTCTCTCTCTCTCTCTTACCTATTCATTTCGTATAAAGTTGTAATGGCTCTGATTTAATTTTCTTTTTCTTTTTTTGTTTACTTCCTTTTCATCGCCCTCTCAGTTTTTACTTACCTATTCATTTCGTATAAAGTTGTAAGTAAAGTTTCCAAATTGCATATCAAAAAATATCACGAACGAAGATTTACTTCCGACTTTTATTTATCTCTCTCTCTCTCTCTCTCTCTTACCTATTCATTTCGTATAAAGTTGTAATGGCTCTGATTTAATTTTCTTTTTCTTTTTTTGTTTACTTCCTTTTCATCGCCCTCTCAGTTTTTATTACAATTTGAGCGGCCTACTTCAAACGGAATAATCACTACTGTTGCTTAATCAAAGTTTCTGATATCCCAAGGCGATACGGCAAAGCATTTTCCAAAACATTTCGGCTTTGCTTATTCAGACTGTCGATTCGATTGATGCAATTTTAGTTAGTAACGTTTTGCATTAGTCCATAGAAATCCATGTATACGTGCAAGTGGAAACGGATGTCTCTTGAAAAGTAAACATCCCATCGCATCGTCAGCTCTCTGCGTGCTTCCAGGACGTCGAGCAGTCATGGGGTTGCAATGTCAAGGCCACCGGGCCAAACCTGAGTGTATGGTGTTGAGGGAGAGCACGCACGTTCTCCCCCCTTCTCCCTCTCTCTCCCTCCCTCTACGCACTCACTTGGTATCGTCAGACTGAAGTTGACAAGGACGTAAAGGAGAAAGGTTACCGTTTCGCTGACGATACTAGTGCGAGAGAGGAAGAGAAAGAGACAAGAGGGAGAGGGAGAAGCTCGATGGTCCAGCATATCGATCTGCCGAGCAGCGTGTGCACTGTATACATATATGTAGAAGCACGGGGCTTGCGTGCGACTTGCATAGATACAGAGTCGCTTCGTTTCTCGAATCCACGGAAGCTCCGGCTGGTCGATAAATGACTGCGGCGCCCCGCTGGGATATTTCGAAGAACGGAGTCTGTGCAATGTTATGGCGCGCTGAAAAATAATAGAATCCATCGTCATCGAATTATCATGCCGATTCGACCAACCACTTGAGAATTGAAGTGGACGGAGCATATGAATTTTTTCCGCTCTTTCTTTATCTTTTTATACCCACCTACTTCTGCTCAACACACATGGGTTCAATCAGAAGGTGGAACTGAAGTTGTAAATCAGCCGCTACCCACGTTCGTTAATTTATACGCACAAAGAACCAGGACTCCTCTTCTCCTGTAGACTGGCAGGCAGCGTAATATCTCAGGCGCACGAGTGGAGCTACCAGCTCGAGACGTTTCTCTAGGCCTTCCTAGGCCTTGGTTCTTCCTTACCGTCTAACCGTGTGAGAGCCCTCTCTGGCTCGTGTAATTCTTAAGGAGGGCCAATCCCGGGACACGTGGGCGCGCACAACACCTCAAGGAGTTCAGCAGAGAGCTCACAAAGAAATGATTATTTTTCATTGAACGCGCGTCGCTGTGGCTGACAATCTATTGAGGAATTGTCGAGTAAGAGGCGAGGCCGAGCCGTTAGGCTTAACGCGTTGTGAAACAACTTCGCAACAGCAATTTACTCACTTACCAGAAGAATTCACGTGTATTTCATTCTCTCGAAACAGTCGACGTTGCTTTCCTCCATGGTGACCCCAATCTTGGCTCATCCTCTTCGGCGGTCGACTATTTTACTCAAGTTTCTATTGTCTATTTTAGACTCGATAGACTTCTCGTCACGAGCTTTGTCAACGCACTTCAAGGGTTTTCACATGAAACTTTTAGTAGCTTGTGACGAACGTAAGTTATACTCTGGACAGTCAAGGAATCGAATCCTTCATCGACGCACGTGAAGAGCACGAACTACGAATCCATAATAGAGAACGTGCATTACATTATATGGTATACTATATTATATAATAATGTAGCACAGCGATGCATTATAATAGCATTGTTATCGATGTAGAAACTCCCGTAGGTCTTACAGGAGAGAACCGTCGGTATTGCTAAACTGCTAAGTCATTTGGCTTGCATCGTACTTACCAATCGAATAAAACTGTCGTTTAATAATTATCCCTTGCTGTTTTTGCTTCTAGGAATCCTTACGATCACGCGTGGCGATGGATTTCACCGGAAGTGTCGGCAGGATAGTCGAGGATCCCAAAGAAGCGAGGGACATTGCCGAGAACGAAGGTATAGCGTGGAGACGTCGATGGAGACCCTTCTCGAGACCGCCGCCAGGTTGCGCCACCGTCAGGTTACACGGATTGGACAATGGTATTCACGTACTCCAGCCATGGTTTCACAGCGGACTCAAAAGAGAATGTGCCGCTGCAATTTTAAAGGATCACGGAACCGTCGATGGGTAGGTCTTGACGTTAACTCCTCCCTCATAGAATATTCGTACTTCCCACGCATTCAATTAATCATTCCTTTATCCCGGAGAGAGAAATTCCGCACGCTCTCGAGTCTCGACTTGAGAATGGAGACTGTAAATCCCGTCGCTACGAGACGCTATGAATTACGACGCGCTCGAGTTCATTTCACGTCACGAAATATGCCAACCAAAAGTTATGCTATCATTCTGGGTCAATACTGATCCAGTCGAGTGAAAGAATAGTTTTTTTATTTACTTCAGAAAAATTGATTCTATTTGAAAAACCCAACTCTTATTGACGCCTTTCGACAATCGCTCGAAGTTTTTAATGCTCTGCCATCGGACAACTCGTGTACTTGGTTTTTCGTACCCGTCGTAAATGCCCGTAAAAGAGGAATAACAGAAGAAAAGTATGAGAAAATACATGTTACATTACCGAGGAATTTATAATGTAAATGGAGAAGAGATTCAGGCTGAAGTCTACAAAGGCAAGAGGCTCTCGCCTGTCTCGAGTTTACGTTAGGTGCTAAATGTGGAACAAGCAGGGCGCTGCAGTCGACTTTACGAGCGACCCTCCTGTCGCATCTTTCATCCTGAGTCTCCTTCGCTCTCAAGGATTGCTCATTGCATTCGCTGGCCTCCATCCTACTCTTTGACGAGGACATTAATTTATGCTACGATAGCCTCGTCTCCTTCTCTGCCGATACTTTATGCCCATTTTTAATAATCCTTAAAAATCCAGAACCAAACCTTTGCCACGTTGTGCCTAGAAGCTCTGAAAAAAGCTTTCAGCCTACTTTTGTATTATGTTATATGGAGTAGGATCATCATTCTATCGCGCGGGACGATAGGTTCGATCTTGTAACCTAACATATAGAGTCATTCACTGGAAACGCACCCACTGAACATGCTTCTAGCATATAGAAATCAAATGGACGAGCTAACTTCAGGTGGTGCGTTTCTACTGAATAACCCTGTATATATGTATAGTCCGCCTTGTAATTCATCTGTTTCTATTTTAATCTTTTCAGCGTTTTCCTCGTGAGAAACAGTAGGAGCAATCCAGGGGCGTACGTCTTGACCTACAAATATGGTGACAAAATCTTCCACGCCCAAATACAGCCCGTAAGTATATTTTTCTGGGTATCTGCCATGTAATTACTCGACCGTAACGAAAGTCCCAGTTCTTTAGAGTCTCGTACAGAGATACATACACGCATATATATATATCGTTGCGGTTCAGCAGCAGATGTCTAGAGGATCTAACGTGTGCTGAATCGAAATGTTTCAGGTTTTCGACGAGCGTCGGAACTGCTGGCTCTACACCCTCGACAAGGGCGCCACCAAGTTCTACGATCTCCTCCAGCTGATTGAATTCTATCAGCTGAACGCAGGTGCACTGCCTACTCGATTGACACATTACGTACAGAACGGCGTGCCTGTGCCAACTAGAACAGACGAAGGCGGCGCCTCGCCTTCGCCTCCGGAAGGTTCACAAAGATTTAATCCTAAAAATGACTGCACCAATTTGCCGACCATTTGAGTATAGGAATCCCAGCGATCCGCTGATGTTAACGATCTCGCTACCACTACCTCCGATAAAGTCTATATTCATTATCGTCAGTACCACAGCCGACGCTATTACCATCAATATCGCAATAACAACCATCATCCTCATAACGATAAGCATCGTCATCGCAATAGCAGCGACAGTAGCAGCGCCAACAGAAGTAGAAATACCGAAAGCACCGACAGCAGAAACAACAATAACAAGAACAGAGATGGTAACGCTCGTTCGACAACTTTGGGTTGCTGGTCTCTATGCAAGGGGAGTTATGACGAATGGGACGTTTAAAACGCTTATGTTATTATTCATCGTCGAAACCTTATAGACACGTGCGTATAATGTCTCTCTCTCTCCCCCCCTCTCCCCCCCTCTCTCTTTCTTTCTTTTAATAAACGTCAACGGAAAAGGGAAATCCGTCGTGTGGACAAGCAGCTGCAAACAATAGGAATATGGGCCAAAGAAATATTCAGGAACCATCGGCAACAGATTATTACATTAATATTTGGCGAAAAGGACGTCTGCGGTACTCGAGCAGAGGATTTCGTCAATGTTAGAAGAGGATACCATTTGGTGTTCCAGAGAAGCATTATTGAGGCACGCAAATTATTGCCCTACCACTGGGAATCATTGTGTGGCAAACATTTGAGATGGATTTCAGTCTCCAGGATCTATCAAAGACAATACGAATTCATTTTACCGGCACCTTTGGGATTTTGATTTCCCAGCTGCTGCTTGACTCTGATCTTGGTTCTATTCTCATGGAATAGTTATTCCTCTAAAGTGTTCTATATGCGGTGCTAAATCCCTTAGATCATTTTTTTTACCTGCGCCAGTTTTCATAGTGTTTCACTTTTGCGAAGGACATTCTATTCTCGATACTAAAAGCGTTTCTAAATATTATGTAGAATTAAGACTAACACGCAATAACGCGATTGGTGAAATAATGCGAAAATTGGCCTCGTCATCCGAATTTCGGGGAGTGCGAAACAGACGAGGAGAAACTTTTAAAAAAATTTTGTCATCAATTAGAATATAGTTTTAATCCTTAATGGACGGGAGGATTTATTAATTTCTACAGTTCTTGACTTGCAACTTGAATGCACGTCTTAAAGTGATACTGTAAAAAAAAATAAGACCTACGTAACGCCGAAAAATCGGCTTCCCGTCTTGTAGAGGTTAAATGCGATCTTTCATTACCTATTACCTAATGGATTTTAATAACTTTTGCGAAATTCGTAAAATTTTACTATAAGAGCAATTAAGAGATCAAGACTCTTGCATGCCACCGCCGCGACATGGTAGCTTAGTAATACGTATGTCATAGTATACGAGGCACTAATCGGCATTAAGAAGACAGCAACAACAACAACAACAACAACAACAACAACAGCAGCAGCAGCAACAATCAAGAAACAAAAAACCCAATGGGATTAACCGTAAGAAGATATGTAGATAATATATAGATAAGGAGATAGATAAGGAGTCGTATCCTTTCTTCACTTCTTTTTTCTATGTCTAACCGTTGTGCAAACACACACTCCTCACACGTGTAATATAACGATATATCGACTTAAGTGACGCAACATCACACGAGAGTGTCGCTACGTAGTGGTAAAATAAACGGGACGAATGGCAGCCTAGATATACGAGAATTAAAGAGAAAGAAAAAGAAAATTAAATTAGAGTTTAAGGGAGACAAATTCAAGAATGAAAAGCATGCGCGTACATATGATTACTACGAGAAAGAGAGACCAAGATACCGCGAACTTGCGAGCAATAATAATGCAAGATCCGATAACTGAAGATCCATATTTTGATTATTCCTTCTTTGGGCGTGTGTTTGTGAATCGTTTTGAATGACTGTAACTATGAGCGCGCGCGCGCGCCATTTGTATAACAGATTTTGTAATTCGTTTTTTTTTTCATTTTCGTTCTCACGTCAAGCTCCTCGTTCTTTGTCCTAATTTAATGAATCTGCAGTTAACGTTGCTATGGCGAAGCTACGTACAATTCTATAACCTTGTTATTTATTTATTTTAATCTTTACTCTTATTAAATTCTACAATGTCAGATGAAAATGCGAATATCAGACGAACGAGACGAACGGGTCAAAAATAATATGGTCAAACAAAGTCACCAAAAAGTTATGGCCAAGCTAATGTTAAGAGAATTTCGAATTAGGTATTCTTGCGTCTCTTTGGAGATTTAATGAAATGTCAAATTACTGAAAGCTTCACATGAGTCGCACTCGTGAGCCTCGTATTTAACGTGTTATTTATTCCCTCATTTCACAATTATTCTGTCATTATCAGTTTTATAAACTGCTGAGATGTTCTCCTTGTCGGTTATACAAGTATTAAAAAAAGGAAAAGAAAAATAAATAAAAGGGAGAACACTTTGCATTGTTTATCTATGTGTCTATTTATCTGTCTGTCGTTCAGAATTGGAGACTTTAATATTAATGAATGTATGAGTATAATGATGCAATGATTGGTGATATCTGCGGGTAACTGTGACTCTATTATGATATACATATATAAGGATAAGGAGGAGGGACGAGTTTCGAGCTAAATTAGCAAGATAAACTAAGTGCGTGTATTAAATATGTGAAAATTTAAAAAGATACCTAGAATATAAGGATCCTCGAAGCATCGAGGAACGAAGGGGTTGCGTGGGATTTTGAAAATTGCTCATGAAAATTCATAATTACATATTGGAGGTTGATTGACAAAGTGTAGAAATTGAAAAAATTTTAAGGGAACGATTAAGGAGTTTCGCGGGACCTTAGTGAAAATGTAACCAAGCGTTTGACATGTACGTCATTGAATTATTGATGCGTGACACTTAAAAGTCTATGATTGGCCATTAGAATTTCAAGTCAATCTCTCAATCATGTGAAGATGCGCCTGAATATCGAGGAATGTTGGTTTATAGGATTCTAGTGAATGAAAAAATTAAACCAGCTACATGAAAAACTAACGAAATATTAATTGCACTGTTAAGATGAGCCAGTACAAAAATCAAGTCATTCGTCTACATGGTTAAATAATTATATTAAAAATTAAATGGAGAAACAGCTTACTCTTACCTCAACGATTGAACGCACGGTCGTCATGTTTGCGAATTATTTTTCGCAAATAGAACATTCAAAATATAACCCTTAAAGTAATATAAAAAAATAATAACTACTTTTGTATTAAGAAAAAAAAAAAAACGGTGTATCTGTAAATCTACACATCAATATTTTTCACGATATTTTGATATTTTGTTTTAACTTCAAAACTTGCTGCGAAAAAGTTCACGTCCTGCTGAAGAACAATAAGGTTCTCCCTCGTTTTCCCCTCTGCGATAAGGCTCCGCGAAACTCCTTAATGAAAAGGAAAAAAAAAAGAGTTAACCGATTTCGAATTCTCTGACAGCTAATGGAACAGAATCCTCGAAATTCTTTAGCAGCCCCTTCGACCGTCATGATCTCATATACGTTACATCTGTTTTTCGGACGCGCGAACGATTTGATACTAATTAATATAAAGGAGAGAAGAGAATTCAACAAGAGAAAAAGATTGATTGAAAATAGAAAGAGATATAAATATTCTAAATTATACATTTTGTAAGGAAGCGACATCGGTCTCTAAGGATTACGCTAACGATTGACGATCGACCATTTAAGTGAAGTCGAACGGCGTTGCGGTTGATTTATAAGTCGGGTTAGGTTAGGTTAGATTTGGTTCTGAAATTTGGGGGGGGGGGAGAGGGAAGCTATACTAAAAATGATCCTCGGGAAAGATTCGATTTCCTTCAAGTGTTTGCGAGTCTTTTAAGGATCTCGGCCAAAAGGTAAAAAGAAAAATTTCGAAAATCATTAATGGCGGGATGAAAAAAATAGATTGACCCACCCGACGAAATTTCTCAAGTAATCTCTTGAAAGTGACAGGTGGGAAGCGGGGAGTAGGAAAATAAGTTAAGATTCACGCGTAAAGGGATGCTGGATAAAAATGTAAAAAAGTAGACAAACAAATTAACGCAATGTATTATTCGTCATGAAACAGTAATCCTACCCGTACCTATTTTATAATATATTTTTTCATCGATTATTTATTTCATTATGAATAAACGCGTGACGTCTCTATCTTTTAATAAGGTGTATCTTTTAAGAAAACTTAAGAAACAATAACAATTGTAGACACAAAAATAATTAGCCACAACAAGAAACACACACACACACACACACTTTGTATTAAGTCGCTTTTTAGAACTGATATTAGGTTTACGAATCTTTGCGAATTAATGTCATTTAGTACATCTTGATAGCCAATCGGCATTCGGCTCGTATTACTTTTATAATTTGCTGTCTTATCAGTTACAATGAAAAATTTGCCATTTGGAGGATTTTTTCGCAATGAAGAGAAAAAAAAAGCATCTTCGGCCTTTGATGTAAATATGTCTATTTAGGCCAATTCCCCCAAAATCCACCTTTTCTTATCGATCGATCCTTTAATCGATTCGCTTCCCATCCCGTAATCTCAACATCCCCATTTTCTCTTATCAATCATAACCAGAGAGCCTCTACAATTGGAAATCAACATTGATGGCGGTCATTCAATTTTGATTTTTCAATTCGTTAACTCTTCTCGATCCTCGAATCACGCCTTTCCCTCCATCCACTTGGCGACAACCTAAAGTCGCGCAAAGCATCCTCAAGCCACTCTTCTTCGAAATTTCGACTTTTAATTAATCTTTGTCCTCCAAGATGAAACGAGCCGCCTGCGCCGAAGGGCTAACGCGCGTAAAGGTTATACTAAAATTATAACGATTATTATGACACAAATTATAAAATATATTTTGTATTATCGTAGCCGAAAATTAGAAAGCAAAACGAGTGGTCTGTGAGACTGAATTACCCTATGATTACATTCGATTTCACCAACGTCTGTTAAAGAATAATAAAAAGAAGCAAGGTAACGGAACGTTAAAGAATTGTCTTTTCATTTATTTCCCTCGGTCTTTCTTCTTTTTTCATTTTTCTCTAATATCACACGTGTCCTATCATTCCACTGTTAAATTTGACTGATTGACACCACCAGGCGGCCGTCCCGATCGAAAGGGCGTCCAACGAGACGGCGATGACTGTCGTCATGACGACATTACTGAGGATCGACTGATAACAGCAATTTTTTTGAAAAATAAAATTGACATCAGTACTCGCGGAATGAATAACAATAAGTCGACTTGTAGCGAAAGTTTCGAACTTGAGCTCATTATTCTCGCTGATGGACTCGTTCGTTGTAATTCATGAATTATAGGGAAAGCATAAAGTACAGTACCCTCGAGCACCTAGTCAACATGTATTTTCCCAACTCTTAAGTTTCAACGTTTTATCGACGTTACCCATTGGCAGTCTTAATTTCATTTAATTCTTTGACTTGCACAGACTTTGGTGAAAATCTAATGTCATGTATGTTATATTAGATGGAAAGAAATAATTAAAAATTAAATATTATATATACATATATATATATATACACATTATAAATTATCGTACTCGTAAGGAAGTTTGGTCGGAGCGCAGATTAACAAGGGAAGATTATTGAGACAGAATTTGTCAGATCTTCCTAGTCGAGTTTCACAAATGGACATTTCTACGGATGTAGATTATTTCTGTTTTTTCGACTCTGTTCGAGGTGAATATAGTCAGGTACTGGTAATGTTAAAAAAAATTAATTGAACATGTTCTTAATGTCGCATCGAAATTTTTCTGATAAATAGTCGATATTTGTGGAACTTGAATTAAAACGATCGAAAATTGAAAATCGCGAAAAAGTCAAGCGATTTATTTATCGAACGACAATTAAGATGAATCGTGCCGATTAGGTTTCTTAGAAACAGGATTTTCGTTATTGGTGCACCTGACTATTATTGTTATTATTATATTAATTAATTTGTCCAAATCGATTTTACATGCGTGCTGGTACTTATATACGAATGAACGATTACCCATAGTACGTATAAATAAATATCGGTTAAGTCATGACCAGAAGTCAAGTATATATTTTTTTAATACGTTTAATAATTGAATTATGAAAAATTTTAGATTGCCTATCATAGGCTTACGAACTGATATGACAAAATTAATTAAAAAAGTTAATCGTAAAATTGATTATTCGTCAGTATTACAAAAAAGAGGTCTCGCTATAATAATTTTCATTCTAATTAATCCTGACGTCACGAAACTTCAGTCTAATACAGCATGCGCTTTCTAGTTAGAGTACTTTGCAAACTTTATACAGGGTGTCTATAACGTTAGCGAGTAAGGATTCAATCGTAACCAAAATCCACGAGACTATTTACCAAACGCACAAAACTCTCTGTCTCATTGCAATAAGTAACTCCACTTCTATGATACATAGAAACACTAAAAAAAAAACAATAATCACTTCGATTTAACAGTTAGCATGAAAATAGCGTTTCACAGATCCCAGAAGAAGCATTCGTAAAGCAACGGGAAAAAATCAGTGTAAATAAATACGGGCCAAGGAAAATTTTCCTCCTAAGGTATATTCTATCTTAACTAATTCGTTGAAAATAAATTGAAAAAAATAAAAAAGAAAGTCACCGAGAGCAATGCTCTTGGAATAACAATAACGAATATCCATAAATCCGATAAGTCGTTTTTTTTTAGAATTCAGTGGAATCGTCCATTTTACTCTTACAATTAGAATTAATTTCTAACATATCCATATCGATCGACATAATAATGACGCAATAAATTCTCAAGTATACGTTAACAAAATAAATAAATATACGCAACCTGCAGCAGATCCAACCAATTGTTATACCTTTGTATAAGTCGTAAGCAATGTCAATACATGAATAAACTTTCATTAAAATTCTTCGATTTGTATTGATTTGATCAAACTGCTCCGTCCTTCCATTTGCCCGAGTCGAGTCCCGCCAATAATTGCAGCGACGTCAGACGAAGGAATCGAGGACGGAAAGATGCGCGCGCGCGCAGGCAACAGGTAAACCCAGGAAAAGGCTGGACAGGCGACAGGCGACTGGCAGGCTGGCAGGCTGGTAGGCTGGCAGGTGTAGCTTAGAGGGAGTTTCGTCGGGGAAGGTGGGAGTCAATGCTGACCGGTATCGGCTAGTCTACCTGAGTCTACCTGAGTCTACCTGAGTCTACTGAAGCCAACCGAGGCTACCGCGTGCGCCTTGGATTCTCGTTCGCCTGCGCCGCGTACGTTGCCGCCAGAGTAAATCGAACCAGTCAGGTGAAACGTCTTGCGAACAATATGTGAGTTTAGAAGTGAGGATGTTACGGAGCCTGACTTTTCAAAGAGCTTCGTTCTAACTTTACACCAGTGAGTATACGTGCATTCTTCTTCTAAAGACACCTCATGAAATTCCTTGCTGAGCTGTGACATGGAATTCATTTTTAAATGGAAAAATCCTCGCACTGGAATTAAAAAAGTCAAAATTTGGAATTAAAGTGTTATCGGGTTATAGTTCCAAAATATTACGTCAAATTAAAAGCATTGTCATTGGATGCCAGAGCTCCTCCTCAATTTTTGTTCTTACGTACTGCATACAACTAAATGCAGAGTCTGTTAAATTCCCTCGAAACGATTCTCGGAGAATGCATTAAATTCTTGGTAATAAAATTGAAAGTCAAACTTGACGCAAGTTCGATTCTCCATGTTTCTTCTTTCTCGAGGAGTGCAAGTACAGTCGCAGTACAATCAGTTATAAAAGGTATATAATCCGTCCACGAGTAAAACAGCTTTTGTCGGGGCCATCTTCCAATAACTTTTACGGTACAAGAGTCCCCTAGAGAAAATCTTTTATACGTGGAGCGACCGTAGACTTATTAGGAGTTCGCTAAACGAAGCTGCTATATATTCTTGTGGTGGCATTTACGTCCTCCTCTGGAATCAGGATTCGCTTGCTTATCCAACCGTTGCATTTGTATCTAATGTCAGAGTAGGTAAATACGTGACTCTCGAATGAGGATCTTTCTACAGGGAGACTCGAGCCTGAAGTCCGAAACTTCGACCCTGAATCGCGCCTATCCTCAACTCAAGCGAAACGTTCCGATGTCACGTCTCTACGTTCGAACGCTCGAGTCTTCGAATAGTCGCGATTCTTTTGAAAATTGCTGCCTCTGATATGTTGGCAGCAGCAACAGCAGAATCTCCTGGCAAGAGTATCAATGGCGAATACTAGTTGCCTCGAGTGACTTCACCATGTATTCCTGGATACTCCACTCGAACCAGTCAAACGGCATTCCTCTCGATCGACCGCACGACTTGCCGCTTGAAATACTAACCACTGCTAGGATCTCGCGTGGGACCAATGGCGAACCGTGCCAGAAACCATAGCCGTCAGAGTTCATTACAATTAAGTAATAAAAAAAATTCGTTTTCTCAACAAAAAATTCACTTAGAACTTTGCTCGAATTACCAGCTAGATTTCCAGTGGACGGCGGTTCCTTTCAATCCTAAGAAAATGAATTGATAAAATGTGATACAAAGAGAAAGGGTCTTGAAAAGTATTTTCAATCTTTCTTTGCCATACTTCTACTGCGTAATTTAATTCACGGATAACGCATCCACAATGAGTATAGCACTTACAATTAGTAAAGCGTTGCCAGATATTCACGCATCCCTAACCTGTTTGTTTCCGGTTGATTACGAAGTCGAACCGTCGAACAAAAAGTCTGTAGATGCGATACAACCGGCTATAGATAGCTTATTGTATATCTTAGCGACTGGTGTGTCACGCGTACTATAGGTTGCAAGGATCTTCGTACCAGGTACATGCCTAACTACAACGTGCGCCGTGTATTGCGCATGGCAACGTGATGTTTTACTGAACTCGCGCTATCGCTAATACGAGTCGCCTTGATAATTACGCCTGAACTATTGCGTACCTAGTCCAGGTTCGCTTTTATTGATAAAGGAAAAAATACAAGCTATTCGAAAATTTACACTGGATTAAAAGCGAACTTCAAGTTTTCATCTGAGCCTTAGGGATCTTTATAGGATTTTTGTGTTCGTCGATTAGTATCTTACTGCATATGTAATTGCAATAATCACAATAGACAGACTGTATTATTTGCTGACAATCATGATACTTGCCGATCTTTCGTCTCCTGACTAAATTGATGGTACATGAAAAATTTTCAATTTTTCCAACCAGCATCCTCCAAATCCGTATAAGACGTTATGCTTGATATTTTTTATGATCTCATATTTTTATCTGTTTATAAGAAACAAAGTGCCCGTGGCGAACGAATAGAATTAGTCAATTTTATTTCTCTGGCTGCACAGGCGACAACGGCGCCATCGCTGCTGGTACTTGCGTAATTACGCGAAGGCACTTGGAGCGTTACTGTCGTGACAAATGCTCTTGCCAATTTGCAGCAATGAAAATGAATACCGTGTACGTTATTTGAAGCAAGAAAATGAGCTCGTTGACCTAGTTTCGAGTTTCGTTTTTAACACGAAATAGAAGTTAGAGCATACAAGTGATCGGTCAGTAAATGTTGACAGAACTAAGCGGAAAAAAAAATCTTTCAAAATCCTGACTGATGCTCAAAGTCGAAAAACAAGCAGGAGCCTGGTTGGAAAAAAGTTATTTAATACTCGGAAAGTAACACATTCCTTCAGGTTGGCAACGCTTTATCAGGAAATAATCGATCTCGCCTCGCGAACCACATTAAACTTGTATAAAGTTTGGCCGTACCATGCTTTCTCCTGCTAGAAAGACAGGGGCACCGAGAACAGTTGCGACGGCCCTTCAATACGGAACTATGAACAAGCTGCCAGCAAAATTACCATACAGGCAGCCTTTCCTTATGGATCTGTATACTAATTTTTAATCGAATAAAAAAATTATAATCTACAAAGCAAAATAAGACTTACATCAAATTTGACTTATCGTATCAACGTTTAAATTAAAAGTCTTGCCTGAAGTTAGATCATATATCAAACGTTAGGGTATTCGCGGTGAAAGGTTAGGATTCACATTTTCCATACTCCACACTGACGTTGACATGAACTATGAGTCATCGTACTGCTACACGTTTACTAACCTTGGTAATATTACTAGCTTATACATATGTAGAAAGCTACTTCTTCGTGCTGTTTCAATGTGTCACTTGTTTTTGGATAGTTTCATAATTTCTTTATTGACGATCGACGAGAACTCCGCGGAACTGAAATATTACCAGAATTTGTCGATCCGGCCTTTGGACCTATAGGCACAGAGTATTTCCTCCTTGCAGAAGTAGTCACTCGATAGAAAAGCAAGGAAGTTACAGAAATTCATAATCTTTTTCCCTTTTACTCCTTCGAGGAGCTACGGCTAACACAGGTTACGTAGGCAAACGCGGGTCTCGCGTGAGGCGAAGCCATTTTTACTAGGTTGTATAGGTGGCGTGCCAGGCGACTATGTTTGTAGGGCCTTGTAGCATAGTGAAATTCCAGTGGAAGTAACGACCTGCTGAACTCGAAAGCAACCTGCAACCATGTACATACATACGTATGATATATTATAAGTCAATCCATAAATCGATATTTTATTATCTTTATATTAATTATTTACCGACAATCACAATATTCGTAGGGAAAAGTTCTAAAAAGTATTGAAATTTAAAGATAATGCAAAAATATTATTTACTGTGTATATATGTATATCTATGTATTCTTACAAAAATTTTCCTCTTTTTTCTATAATAACGTGTTGTTATATTTGTTGTTACAGGTGGGGGTTGCAGAACATGGACCCTCCACGAAACGTGCCCTTCGAGTATAGCTAAACATACCAACAATTTCAACTTTCATGTCTACTATACGGTGGAATTTTCATTTCTGCTTAACGGATTTTGTGAATTCTTGTGACTCCTTGTAATTTTCAAATTCACTTTCGACAACCAAGAAATGAAAGGATGACACGAAGCGTTTGCTCGGGCCTTTCGTTACTCCGTCATTCGTAACTGACGGACTGATTTGCGTGTTTTTTTAAACATAGACAACTAGAAATAAATCCATAATCGAAGCTTTTTCTTCCACTTCCAAAGTGTTCTTAATAATGAATATCAGTGAAATTGAAACGTGATGCGAAATGAAGTTGCTACGCGGCGTATTTTACATTTTTGTATTTTTCCAATCGTTAAGTTGCTTTTTGACAAATGCAACGCTCGACCCTAACGGGACGAAATGCGGGCAGCGACGTTGCTCCACTACGGAGTACTGCAGCCCTTACGACAGCCAATGCAGACCCTGCGCAACTATCTGCGATCCTGCCAGTCACAATCATCAGTCTGAAACCTGCGTGAAAGATTGTCAAGGTACGTAGCCGATCAATATTCAGTCACGTATCAATAATATTCGACGCGTCTAAATAGGATGTGTAAAACTTTCTCGTAAAAGTATATATGCTCTATCAATCTCCATTGTGCATACAAAAATCTACAGCTTGATTCAAGTTACATTATTTTGAGAGAAGCTAAAGTCACGCAATCTAATCCTGCGTCCATGTCGCCGCGTCAACTTGCCGCATCCATAGGGACGTGTCTCCCTTCTCCTCTTCCCTCCCGCCCAACACGGGCACCGTTTCTGATCTCTCTCTTCTGATTCTTCCATGAGAGCAGGTACCAACGGGAGTCTTAAAGAACAGATAAATATTACCTTTGGCAAAATACCTGTCGCTACGGGACCTACCCTTGCCACCAGGTTCAAAAGACGAGCTGTCAGGTTCTGAATGGTTTATGGTAGGGATGTCGCTTGGTGGAAGATCATTATGGAAAAAAGTTTTTAGGGCTAGCAAATCCATTCTGAAAAAATAAGGAAAACTGTTGAAATTTGGAATTGCTGCAGTGTTTGTTCGATACGAACAAATCGAAGAGCAATTTATAACTTTCATGTTAAAAGTCAACAGTAGGTGTCGGCAGTTGTTGGCATTCTACAAATGCCATTCATCTCTTATCACTCCTGTTTGGCAGTCTAGTTACATAGCCGTCGTTTGGCATTAAACTTGGATACTTTAAACGTTGCTTCTACACCAGCGCCGTTCAAAAGTAGAGAAAAAGTCTGAAAGCTGAATACAAGAAAATCTTCAAACCGTGACTCCTGTGTTTGAGCAGCTGCCTCTGAATGACAATGAGTATCATGAGAGCTCATCAACATTTCTCTATGTATTTTAACGCTGCTTCGTCTACTCGTTCCATTGGTTGGTTGTAACATTTCCTCAGCTAAAGCATGGCAGAAATGCCTTGATTTGACAAGTTCCTTCATTTACAGAATATATCTAGTGAATCGTATTATAGAATTTTGGAGGCTCAAGAGAAAGAATCAAGATAAATTACATTGAAATAAATATTTGAAGTTCAACTATTTTTCGAGGCTCAGGGCCAATGTCCTTTATGGGGCGATGATGAGAATTCCAGTATTTATCATCCTTTACAGTGCTCTTCTACCTGTAACTAAATAAGTGTAGCCGTTCGGGTTGGTTGCTTCTGCACCTGAGCGCGTCCTTCTCCAGTTCCCTGCTCCACCACTTCCTCTCCACTTCCCATGCGAACGTTGAGCAGCGTCGCGATGACTCATCGGCAGCTTCTTCAGGTCGACGCCAATTCAAATAGTCCCCTTGTCACTGGCCAGATGCCGCCAGCCCCATTGCTACACGGGTTAGACCTTGAAGTATGTCTTCGTACCGTAGACTTTCCCAATAATTGAACGCAGCACAATCAACAGACAGATCCTCCATCTTGGAAAATGATCCAGATCTCGCTAACCTCTTAACAGAAATTCGGCATCGTTAACTGCGTTAACAGTGATCGATATATTTATATAAACGGACGTTTTCTCTCTTGCAATGTTATTTAATCGTGGAATTACATTTTTCTGATATTTTGATATCTTTAAAAAAATAATTAATCCCCCGTTTCCTCTCGCAGCCTCGAATTCTCTATAATTGTCAGTAGCTTTTGATACTCCACTCGACTAACCGTATACGGTTGGGCACCTTCAGCCAAGCGTAGTGCCACATCCTTCCGCTTCCCAACGTGGCGCTGTGAGACTCGACGCCAACACGTTTCTCCGACGGGTACAAACTGCCCTCGAGTTTTTCAGGTTATTCGCTTGTCCTTTTCTATAGTCGATTGTATTCGTACCGTTTCATTGACTTCCCATCGGTTTTATCAATATTAAACCAACCTACGTGCGTCGTCCATCAAGGTAACTATGAAAAGAAGGTAGGAAGTTCCGAAGTGGCGGTGAATCACCTCAACCACGTTATATACCTACGTAAGATGGATGATCGCGAGGCTCCGCGTCGGCGAATCGATTCGTGGCCTTACGGCTCGTGTTCATGAAAGTAGGCCTCTTGGCTTACCAGTGGCTACTAGCTGCTCACTACTCGCTACTACCATTTAGCATTTGCTCTATACGATAACACGAGTCGCATTCCACTCGTATCCACATGGAAGCGTAAATCGCCGCCGCCGCGACACAATCGCCAACGATAAAACCCACGACACCGTGATACAGATATACTCACAGATAGAGTAGGTTACGTTGGTACTAGTTTGCCATTGTTTGTCGGCAGGTTGCTATGTTGCTATCGAGACTGACACAAGGAACGGCAGGAAAGGTAGCAACGACGCCTACACGAGGACCAAGTTACCTTAGCAACGTGTTCGCTGTCTTGTACTTTCCGCTCGCCTTGCCATTCTAATCTTGAAGTCAAAAAATGTCATCTATACCTTTCTAAATGAACCCTTTTGAATTTTTATATTCTTCCAAAATCTTCGTAAAAAGTACTGCAATTACTGCACCGATAAACCTTCCGACAATCTTCCCAGTAAATTGCAGTCTGAAGAATACAAGAAAATTGAATTCGGAAAAACAGTTTAATTTTCTCAACTGTCCAGTCGAATTAGACAAAACAGCTGATCCTTGCGACTAAAGCATTTTCGCCAGTCAATCGCGTGACAGACGAACGCAGCCAGTACACATCCAAGGTGCATTATTGCCTGCCAGAGAAATCGTTCCACTTGTCACGGTCGTTACCGCAGAGAATTTACGTAACTGGCATAGAGATAATACGAATGCGATGAATACGGAGGAGACTTCCCGTCTTTTGTAAAAGGTTCGCCAGTGCACAGTTGCCAGTAGGCGCTACCAACGAACCACGCTTACAATTAGCCTCCCGACGTGGCCGAGCAGCGAGAAACGACGTCTGTGCCCTGCGGGGTAACAGGATATGCGATAGCGAAATAAATTGACGTATATATATACATATATACTATATGTACAATTGCGAATAGCATGAATCCGAGTCATCGGATGATGCCGCCTTTAGGTTTCAGTGATGCCTATAGACATTGGCTCCGATTGAACCGAGATGCCAGTTTTATTCCAAGTTTGGAGGGGGGCATCTCCCCTTAGTTTGGACAGAACAAAATTTGCCCGGTATGGGATCGATGTCGCGCATCGATCTATCGATATGTATGACGTACGATGTACGCGGCTTCTCCTACGCAACGACGCAGAAACTCAGGCCTGAATACTAATGGCCGACATACGGCTTGTGTTTACAAAAGGCATAACACGCCATTCGTTAACTTTACGCACATGTAGCTGTATAAATACTAGGTTGCACGATACTAGCTATTAGTCAATGTTGCAGGCTGAGCATGATAGTATCGCGACTCGAGACTTTCGCGGTATCGATCATTTCGTTAGTGTAGAACGGTGGATACGTGAGAATGAATTTTTTGAAATTGTTGTTGATGACTCCTGCTTAATCACTATAGTCATACACATGCTGCCATGCCGTGAGATCAGTCAAGCTTGATCCTCATGATTTTTCAGTAAAGCACAGCCCCCTGAACGTGGTGGGTGGTTTGCTTTTCTTGAGGCGACACGTGCGGGTGTCCACAAGAATAGGTTGAAAATAAATTGTTCATATTCGTGGCTGTAAGAGATAGCTCGTTGGATATTCGCTCTCCCGTTCAGGGAACCTTCGGGGAAACAAAAGATCGTTTGTTAATTAATACAGGAATTACGTTTCAGGTTAAAGTCGTTGAAAATCGTGGGAATTAGGATACCGTGAATTTCTAGAAGACTTTACTGTGACTCTGTTGCTTTATAAATTAATGTTTTCTTTCAGAGTATCTTCATGATCAACGCTACGTACTCCGCACGGATCTCCACGAGAGCCAAGAGCTGAAAGGTAAGTCTTGAGTCCGAACATGAGCTGAATATTAATAAGCCGACTGACTGACTCATCGTCGAAATTCCTGAAACTCCTGGTGGACGCACCTTGGAGGTGAAAGTAAACAGTGGCGTACCCGAGACTCGATCAATTCTTTTATCTTCTACGCATCGTCATTTGCTGCCTCTGGAAATATGTTTGTCAGCTTGTCCCATTCTTCGACTTTCGACGCAAGTGGAATTATGCGTACATTGGTAGTAAGTCGATATCTTCAAAATTTGAATCGCGAGAGGTCGTTGGAACGTTCGGACAAAAAAATTCGAAAAGTTTATTTGACTTTTTGGCAAAGCATAATGTATATTCAAGTAGCACGAAACCCAACTAGATTTACCATTGTCGGATTAGCATGCTGAAATTTTCGTGCACGCAATTCCTAGATCTTACTTATGCAAATGACATCCGCTCGCTCGGTTCTTCTCTAGGACGGTTAATTGTCCCGTGCCCGAGAAATCCACTCCGAATGCATAATACGTTCTGCCCTCCAGCTCTACGGTACTTCTCTTTCGAATGGCCACCTACATTTTCTTCTCCTTCGTTTCTCTTTGCCTTTCATTATTTTTTATTTCGTTTAAATAACTTCGTCACGAAATTCAAGGCCTGCCACCCCCTCTGCTCCCCACTACACATCGCACTTCTGTACTAATGAAAAGAACACATATTTTCAAGTGGAATAATTACCGTTTACTGATAAAAAGTATAATATCGGTTATCGAGTACGCAGAAAATAAGCGTGAAAAGTTCCTTCTGCAACGACGAATTTCCATTATGTGGTATAATATCGCGATACGCGACTTCTCGATTTTGCAGTTTTTACTCGAAAATAATTTTATTAAAATATTCAACAGAAGCTCCCTTACATTTCAGACGAGGTGCAGAAGCTGAGGACGCTGATGAAAGTGACGCTATCGTTATGCTGTTTGATGCTTATCATTGTCCTCTATTTGTTGTCCAGGAGTCTACTTTGTTGCTCCCAAATAAAAAAGCAATTACGTTCCGGTTGGTTGAAGAGAAAATGGGTTAAGGTCAGTTTGATTTCGAATTATGTATAATTTATCCGATTTTCGTTTTTCCTCGATGCACTGACTCTGACGAGAATTCATCTTGTTGCAGAACGCTACGAATAACAATAAAGTACAGGACGATGCGGAAATTGGCGTTAGTAAACAAAATGGTCTGAAGCTGACGATGCCCACCATAAGCGGTTCCGTCGCTGGCGTCCAAATTAGCACAGACAACGCGTCGCCAAATACGACTAGCACGCCTCTGTCGAGGAGACATCCTAGCGAGGACACCACGCTGGATTACGCCTACGACAATCCCGCCATGACACCCAGCCCAGAGGCGGCACAACCGAGAACTAAACGTGAGAGTTCTTTTTAAGGGCTATACCCCCATCTCCTCTTTAAAGTGTTTGTATTTTTTATAATTCAAGAATCAGAGAATTTTTGAGAATTTTGACGGTTTTGAGAATTTTGCAAATTTTCTATATTGTGAGATTGTTTGTGGTGGTTGTAGCGATTGAGCTAACATAATAACTGCGTACGCAAAAAGGCAGGTTGTGCTCGAGCAATTGAAATTCAAATATTGAAATGTACAAAAAAACACGGTACTCCTTTTGCTCTAGTATTTGAAGGAAACTCGCGTAAAATGTTTGTAAATAGTATAAGATAGTTTTTGGCTAAGAAAAGTGCGAGGTAACGGCAAAACAAGTAAAGGACCTTCTTTGTCCCGTGTAACGGATTTTTCAATTGAAGAGCAGGTCCTGACTTTCCTAGCTGTTTCCCCAGGGAAGAAGGAAACGGAATGGAGAGAATCCTTGATAGCTCTTACCTACGCAAGCGTGGATGAATGTGAATGACAATTTTCGATGATACCAATATCCGTTGGTATAAACTATTTTTAAATTAAAAGTCTTTAATCGATGTATGACTAGGCTCTCGTGCATTCGTAAACCGTGCGGCTGTGTGACTTAAAATATGTTTATAGTATTTAATCATAAGGAGTACATAACCTCCACTTTTGCAATAAACTAGTATAGGCAAGTGTTAATCTCGCGATGCGCAATACGCACACCCTTTAATTTTAAGTACTTAAGGTAAAGCATCAACTAATTCATAAAGTCTATGTAATGTAAACGCCTTATCAGCCATTCCGTCCATGAAAGGCCTTACGAGCAAAGTCGTCCCGAGACGAGGCACTTTGCATAGGACAGACACGCCGTAACGTCCAAGTGAAACGTTAGAATCATTAAAATAATAATGGCTCATTTAATATTCCCTTGTATCAATATGCTCAAACATTGCTTATACCGATGAAATTTATATCGGTTGATCGTGCTCAACAAGGCTCAAAATTATCAATGTAATCGATGCTCAATTAATGCCCTTAAATTTCGATCAATCGAGACACAATTGAATACGTTAATTGTAACTAAAGTATCGCTCAAGACTTCGTTATTTCACTTACGGAATTTGGTCTCTGTGTGGACTGACCTTGATCGTACAGCGTGCACTGTCCTTAATTTTAATTAAGCTACATTCACAGTATCTAACCACGCGAATCGCACGCATCGACACACATCGCGAATATATCTTATAAAACTTTGTAACTCTTGGTCCGTGTCAGGACCAACGTGTCTTCCAGAATTGAAGATATTATTTTGCCCATGGCAGCTACTAGGATTAGCATTATCGTATCACCTACATAATAATACAACTTTAGTATTTCAAGATTGCATGTAATTGTCATATCAGTCGAGCTGGTTTACTATTTATATTTTAAAAGGAAGGTCCCACGTGAAATACAGTCGCGTGACAGTATCGCGTCCATCTTTGATTTTTTGAAAAGATAATGCATTTGACATGTATTCAAAAGAAATTGAATATAATTTAAAATCGAGAGTTCCAACAATTCCAGAAAAAAAAATACACAAAACATTTGTTTTCGTCGTTAATTAATACCTCTAAGCAATAAGTTGAACTGTGACGTTCCTCGAAATTAACGATCATATAAAGCTAATTAATTGAAATGAGTTCTAATTAATGTTAATGTTTAAATTAGTCTATGTAAATATTTACAACAGTTCTTAAGCGACATACCAGCAATACACTTCTAGAGCACTGATCGTCGAACTGGCACTTAATTTTAACTTGACGATTCTTGGAGTCACAGTAACGTCATCTCATTGCCGTATAGGGGAAAAAATTATACGAATGTTGACAGTTGATCGTTTGATTTTCATTTCCCGGCAAAACGAAGAATTGGTTGACAATCGCATAATGGCGTGAATGCGATTCATAGCGAAAACCGTCGTGTTATTTCCACTAGATTTTACAAGTTTTCATTCTCTCTCGTTCTAATTATTCTATCTTTCTTTACTGACAATAACTGGGAGTAATGTCGACCACTGATTAATTATTATTACTGTAATACAATCACTTGCGCTATGCTGAGTATAATAACCAATAACGTCCTGTGATTGTCATTTGTCCTGACGTGGTTTCAGCGTTATGAATTTTTACCTGGAGTTACTGCTGACACGTGTTTTCGCTTACTCGGCAGTTATTCTACTAGGTTAACGTTAACGCGTAACAATGTGAACGCGTCTTGTTCTCGTGAAGTACGTTGGTTTTCGAAAGAGTCGATGTGAAAATTTGAATGTAAATTTAACGGATTCTTCTTCTATCTCATTGAGGAATTTCACTGGCGGGATCACCTTGCCGTTTCGAATACTTTAAGTGTCTGGAAGTCGTTGAACTTTTTCGTAATGTTAAGGCAAATATGAAGGACCACGTTACATCACACGATGTACCCTACGTCATCCGTAACGATCTCGAGAAGCGTGTTTAAGCATTTTTCTAATTGTGTGTAATGTGGACCTGCGTGCAGGTATAATCACAATAGAAATTAAGTATTACTTGTTAACGATCATTTTAAATTTGTTAAATATTCATCGATAACGTTACTGATATACATTTAACGTACTTTTCCTTTGTAAATTATTACTTTTACGTTTTACTCAATAAGAACAATTCAGTTTTTGTAATTTTTACATTGTTTGACCTGCCCAAAAATATGGCAATGACAAGATTATACGATAATCCAAATGTTTTATTAAAATTGTATTGTCCTAAACGGGAACGAACAACTTGTTTCCTGACCAAAAGGGTAAAATTGTTTTATTGTGAAAAAAAAAACAAATAAATATTGCCTGGCGTTATCAATGTTAGCGCATTTTGTACACTCGAGAGTGCAATTGTACAAATAAATTTGAAGATGATAGTTTAATTAAAGGAATGTTCCTTTCATTCTCCACCAATACCACAGTCGTACAATTAACATTTTATTTTTCTGCGTATGTACAAATATATACAAATCGCTTTATGTCTTTATTTCTATAATTATGCACAGATCTTAAAGATAGGTATGTACAATATTAAGAAATAATTAAACATGTTGCACGTGGTCGCGTCTAAAGACGAGGGGAGGTGCGGTCAGTGCATTCGCACGCGGAATGTTTGATCGATTCGATTAAAATAAAATCAAATGACACGAAAATAATTCAACTAATTGTAAGTTGATTTGGAATGATTCAACTAGACCCAATTGTAAGTACAAGACAATACCTTGCACGGTTACAAGTTTAATAATACACCCCCCTGAGATCATCCCTTCCATCTTTCACCTTTAGATGTAAAGGTTAGAATTTCATATCGAAACTGTCATAATATCAAAGATACGTATACGACTCTGAATATAGTCAGATACACACAGACCTCCTTGAGGTCAGAAGTTCCATTTTCCTTAGGTAAACTTACTATGCGAGATTATATGATATGATTTCTGACCTCGGTCACAACCACTGATTATATCTCCTTGTTCCCTCGCACTTATTAATATTTACAGTGATTAATCGTCGAGTCGTCTTTACCAGGTGACCTGATCGAGGAATCGCTGCCTTGGACATAGGAGTGGGCAAAATTTCCTACACACACACACATACACACACACAATAGCAAATATCATGACAATTAACCATTGATCGAATCTCGTGACGTATCTACGAAGGTGCTAAAGGAAAAAGCACGGCTAGCAAGAAGTCTGTGCAGTAACTGTTAGCCTATTGACTTAAATACAGCGAATGCTCGGTTCAATAAGGCGCACACGAACAGAACAGGAGACGACGACAAAGATTGAGAAACAAAGAAGAAAGTAAATTTGGAGTAACGATAAATTAAAAGAAAAGAAGTAGTGATTATCGAGTATTGACGCGAATAGATGTTCCTCTTATCTCCTGTAATCTCTTGTGTCGCTCGATTAAGTTTTACTTGGTTTATTTCACAGACAAGAATGCGACAGTCTTCTTGCTGATGCGCGAAATACGAAAGGATTACCATTTAGGATAACAACCGGCGTCGTCGGCGTCGAGAGATACGAGGTGCTTCTGTGCTGAGCCATCACCAGTTCCTTCGTGTTTTTCTCGGGCTTCATTAGGACGATGTAGACTTTCGGAAAGAAAAGACACGCCAGCTGGACCAATCCACTTATCGACAAGGACAATGCGAGGGTTACCACCCTTATGGAGTTACTTGTCGACGCCAGGTATAGGGGAACGAATGCTAGCCAGAGAATTATCGTTGTGTAGTTCGTGAAAGCTATGTGCCGTGTTTCGTTGAATCCCTCTGGACACTTTCTTGTTTTAACTGCATAAATTGTGCAGATCACTGAAACAAGAGGCGTGCGTGAGGTATGAGATTTAATTTTGGATGCATCCTTGATACTGTACCTATAAGGACGAATGGATATATCAGTCCAAGCATGTAGGATCGATCGTCCAATCCTTGGCAAATTCTGAGCCTGCTGTCTCTCGTGGGATATAAGTGAATTACCGATGGCGGGACTTTCAAAAGCCAAGCGCCATTTATGAATACCTCGAATAGCGTTAGAATTCCTGTTATTACCAATTGGGACTTCGGACTGGTGTACCTGGTTCAGAATAATCGATATAAATTTTCAGTGTGTCAAATCGGTAAAATACATTTTAAATCCAGTGGTTCGTCGAGTCTTGTGAATTATGTTAAATGTAGGTTCGAACCTTGGTTTATGAGGACTGTGCGTGGTATTATTAAATATCCTATGAATTCTGTTCGTCTTGGTAACTAAAGCGGCGTAGCACAAGGTATAACATAACCCAATCCCAAATCTAGTAACCGCACAAGTTCCTGTATTTGGTTTGGCTACGACTGCAAAGGTCGTAAGGAACGATAAAAGAGTTCCAAGCAGCAACAGAGACGAGAGTTCTCGGCCAGATGCTTTTATCACAGGCGTTTCGCTGTAGATCCGGAAAATAGAGAGGACAAAAATGGTCAGCAGGATGCCTGAAGAAACAAAACACATATAAACATTTATTAGAATTGTCATTAAACTTAGTTGGCCATACGGGGATGACGTAAGCTATCCACATAGTTATCTTGAACCCGCAAGGACCTAGTTCACCCACAGGAGCTAAGCATCCCGCAATAAACTCTCAAAATGAAACTGATAAGAGCTCGTTTCTAGACTTGATAATTCATCGTAAATTCTCGGTCCTTCGATCCGTGACTCATTGATTCTCATAAATACTACATTGTCTGTGACAATCGATTACCCAAACTGGCAACTGCCATCGCTACCACAGCCCAAGGACTGAAATAGTCGATGAACTCCTCAGGAATTGGCTCGCAGAGGGTCCGGTCGGCTGTGGGTCTGGTACCCCATTGACAATCTTCACATCGATGATTATCCACCTTGTACTGATACAATCCACAATTTCTGCAACGCCAGCAGCAAGCGTCCTGCTTCTCTCGCACTTTGACCTGGTGCGGTTCGCAGGGTTGAGCGCAGGTTGAGTTCGGAAAGAAGCGACGGCCCCCTTCCGTTTGATTTCTGTACTTCATCGCTGTCGCTTCTATGTAAAGATTAGGCGCGCCGCTGTCGCTTTCTGAATAATGACGTCACGCGTCCAGTTATACATATATTACTAGTATATCTCTACTTCCCAGTTAATTGTTTCTTCAATTGAGGCACTGTGTGCTATCGAAAGAATTTATCAGACTCACGCGTATAGTTGCCTATGACCTGCCAGTGGTAAGTGCCATCCACATTTTTTTGGTAATTCAAAATTGTGTATCTAGGTGGGCCATCCACGTTATTAATGAATTTAAACTTATTTCCGGCTTCGTCTGAAAGTAGAGAAATATTTGGTGCTCTGTATCTTTAGCTAGAAGACGTTTTAACTTTCTCAAAAATTGTACGTCCTTTTGATCATTGGGTTACCTTTGAAATTAACATTCGACATATACTTAGCCAGCACATCGCCGTCGACGTGTCTCATTTCCTTGCACATTCCATATGATTTCTTTCCACATTTCTCTATCTGTATTCCGTGCAATGCATACGCGACGGCATATACGGCGTCTCTTACGAAATGTAAGAACTTTTGTTGCTTGTACCCAGTGCTGCGATTGATCTTCAATAAAGAATTCAGACAATTGGCGTCAGGATCATCGGAGCTTACAGCGACCTGAAGATACGTTTGCTCGAGTATATATGCTTTTTATATATTTATACTGTACTTCAAAATAATTTTGAAATGTAGTAACTAAAATTAGAGAAAAAAATGGGAAATTCGAAGTATACTCAACCTCGGTTTTGCGATGGTCCCCTGTGGTAAAGTTTCTCCCACCACATCTGTGATATTCTAGCCAAAATTCTCGGAACCAGGGATTGATCTTCTCATGATCAAGAGTGAGATTAGTGAAGTAGTCATCGAATCCCATGACATTCCTAGACAATGGCTGAACGGCCAGAGCTCCCTCCAGAACAACCATCTGCTGATCCTTACTGTTTTCAGGATTAAGAAATTCCTTGTGACTGCTCGTTGACCAAGCGTCGCTTCCGATCCAGACAAAGCGCGTCCCGACGCCAATGCGTCTAGCTGCTTCGAGAACTCGGAGGGTCATTATTTTCTCCGCGAAGAGGACAACCACTGATTATGACATAACGAACAAATATACCATTACCAAAAAATTCATAGAGAATAAAAATAAGTCTCAACAGTAATTTTAATTCGTCTTCTCTATAGAAAATCTAAAAACCGTTTTCCCATAATAATGAAACGTAAAAGTGTCACGCACCGCGAACTTCAGTTTTATTCGCGATGGTCCGTATGACGTTATCGTAATCCTCTGCAGTGAAATGTTCCTTTTCGATTCTCTGAGGCGCACTGAAGCAAATCGAGTAATTGTTGGCTAAGGAAACCAAAGTCTCGTACCCGTGGTTCCCGTATTCCGTGTCCGAGTATACAACAGACACGTAAGTCCACTCGAATTGTCTGGAAATAGAAAAAAAAAAAAAAAAAAAAAAAAAAAAAAAAAAAAAAAATAAAAATCTCGAGCTCAAGACTCCTGGGCTCTTTTATTATGAATTGTCAAGGAATCATCTTGCGAGAAATTCCATTAATTAATTTTCCGAGCTCAAGACTCCTGGGCTCTTTTATTATGAATTGTCAAGGAATCATCTTGCGAGAAATTCCATTAATTAATTTTCAACTTGACGCCGAGGACTCTGAGCCTCGTTTACTTGAAAATAATTCAGGACAAGAATTACTTGAGAATCTCCAGCATGGCGTGAGCTTGATTCACGTCACTTGGCACCGTGCGAAAGAAATGAGGAAAACGTTCCTTGCTACTAAGACTCGGCGAAGTCGCCATGTAGGATATCTGCGGCACGGAAAAGAGTCTGAGCATGGCAGCGATCTGAAACCAATTTCAAATATATTAGCTCCTGAAATTCCAAAGATTCCTGCAGGCAGTACCACGAGGGTAAAACTCAAAGTACACTCGTACAGAATGACATCGGTACGAGCCGATGAAATACCTGAAGAGTCACTGAGCTGCTTTGAGCAGCTAAAACGGCAACGACTTGGTCGTAACTTCCGCCAAAAAATTTCGGTGAACTTCCGTCGGAGCACTGAAATTCCTGTTCGTGATATTGATTAACGTGAGCTATGAAACCTGAAGCAAAAACAGTCTTTATCAAAAATCCATATGACTCCTGGCTGTTAGGATTTACGAGAACACATAATACCGAAGGAAGCAAAAAACAAGAGAAAACCTTTAACAAAATTCAAGGCCTGTTCCAATGCGTAGCTGGGGTTGTCGCAGGAGTCGAATGCAAGGACTCCTAATCGAATACCAGGCAGTATCTGTGGATCCTGATTTATTTGATGTATCGTATACAGCATGGCTTCCAAGGGCTGCACGCCATCTTCCAGCTAGAAGAACAAAGTCAACTGCAGGATAACAGGGATAAGGAAATTCATCCGGGTCGCCAGAGAACGTCCGTCACTTTTTCAGCCACAAACCATATTCTTAATTGTATTACAAAAATTTATAATCTGCTTGAAATACATTTGATACATATACTCACTTGAATTCTCCCACAAGCCTCGCCGCTGGTGCCTTTCCTGTGTACCGGAAACAAGGCACCCAATGTGATGTCCCCGGAAACATTCAGGTAGACTCCACCACTCGTTACGGTACCCAGTGTCACCAAGAACAAGCCGACGGAGTACATACTTTTCTAAAAAATATTTAAAGAATCACACGTCTATATTCAGTCCTCTGGGTACGTCGACAGATGACTTGCCTATACGATAGTCTAATGCATTCGACTTCCTGCCATTTTGATCCTAAGGATCTTCTCGAACCTACGAATATCTGCCTCAGGATTCATTCTTCGTATAACGCAACATCAAACGCATTTCATTATAAACGATCGACTTCTTCTCAAACACCCCACCTCTAGGCATATTCTGCGAAGGACTGAAGTGGACTGAAGTGGACTGGGGTGGACTGAGATGGATTGAAATGGCCAATAACATCGAGTGTTTCGTTTTAACGAGTTGACGTAAATGAAAACGCCTCGTGCGTATACGTACAATACACTATAGTATAACTCTACTATGGGATTGTTCAACTGAAACGACCGAAACGTACCGCTCGAACGACCTGAAGCGACGGTACGAGGTGAAGCTGACTTCAGTTGGTTCGTTTAAGACAAATAATGTGTAGTTACAGGTACTGGGTGGACGGGCCAGTAATGTTCACGGTGATAAATATATCAAGAAAGCAGGATCGACGTAAAACTGTATTCTCCAATTGTCGATTTATAAGTGACAATTGGGAGCCATCGGCAGTTCATTCGGACTTTGGTTCTCTGCGTCGCAAATCTTATGCTGCTGCTTGGAAACTCTCGTGTCTTAATTTAACCAATTTTCGACCGGTCGATTATTTTCGTAACTAATGTCAAACTTCACAATGTGCTGGGTGCATGGACTTTGTATTTCTGACTAGATTCAAATCAAGTCTTTAACTACGCGCAAGACGGCAATAAATGAATAGGTAAAAAAATGATTTAGTTAATCGACTCCCAAGTTCTATCTACGGAGACAGTTTAATCGCTACGTGCCTACGCACACGGATCAAATGTCTAAGCGTCTGTTTGTTGTACGTTTTCGGAAAGAAAAAGGAATCCACCTGCACAACAATACGTATACATGCTTTGATACATGAACTGCGTATACGCGCACGTAGCCAATAGTGAGATTGAGTTACAAGGTGAAAATATTAATAAAGATCAGCAATAATAACCGCATTAATAATAGCGCTACGGAATAGCTTTGCTGATCTCATCGATAGACTGAAACCCAATGACGAAGGAAAAGAAAAAATGATAAAACGTTTAAAATTAGTCGTTGGGTTAATTATAATTTTATTATCGTCCAATCGAAACGTCAGGCTCTGATTTTAAGGATCGGAAACGAAAACTATTTCACTGTGTAATGTCTTTAACGGTATAAGAATATTTATTTGGATTGTCAGACAGCACGTAGTTCCATTAAGATGATAATTCATCTTCCGTCTGTTTAAATTGAACGTGGTGTCCTGATTGTAGTTGCTAACGAAAAATAGACTTCGAAAAAAAAAACTAAAATTTGTAAATAAATAAAAGGGTAAATAATTTTAATCAATAAATAAATTACCATACGCATCAGTACGTACTTATTGGCCTTCTATTGATAAAGAAAATAATAAAGCATCGACTAACAAATTTTTTATTATACAATTTGGTTACACCTAATTTTATATTCCATTCGTTTCTCACTGCTTTCTTTGTCCCTCAGACGCACCCCACTCCAATTTGCGAGTTTAGAAATTACAGCTGTCCCCTTTCCGTATTTTTACCGTCGCATGTCCGAACGAAGAAGAAATCTCTAACGTGAGGACAATTATTTTCACGTTCTGTTAAACGAGAGTAGATACGCGCGCACTACTGCGCATGCGCAACCACGTGCACATTTCAAAGGAAACAAAAAATATCTGCGGAAATGAGACGCTGGTCCCTTTCGCTCTTGAGGATATCAACGAATTGTTTTACCAAAATATATTCGATGTACGTCCAAATGAATGCAATCTTAGATTCATTTTTTTCAAAAGGCTCTCACTCGTCTTTTACGGGTAATTTCTAATTGTAAGAGAGAAAATACGAAGTTGTTACTTCCTGAAACATTTCAGTATTTTTCACCCCCTGATCTTATACATAAATTTGATGCCGGTTCGAAGAACCTGCTACCTATAGCTATAGTACCGTGTATGTACAGCTACACGCACGAGTGTGATGTCAGTATCAATTTGATTAGCTTCCCCGACCTACAATACAAGGGACTTTAGCCTCCCTTTAGCCTCGATACTCTCAATTTCCCTCTTATTCCCACTCTCGTCCTTTCTGTAGAGCTCTTCTTAATAACTTCCTCAACTCTATTGAACCATTTTATCGAAGAATAGCTTTATTCTATCACCATCTGAAATACTTAGCCTTTTATCCGTACCTGTCGACATCTAGCGTGTTCGCTCTGTACTTTACTCGATTATTTGCATTACCCGTACTCGTCACGTTTCTCGTTAAAAAGACCGTTAAAGTCCATTAAAAAATTGTATTCTAATGAAGAAACTTATTTGTGTATACAAAAATAATGGATTTCTGATAAGATCGATAAGGGAAGAGGAAATCTCTTTGTTAGCAAGCGAAGAGAACGCGAAGGCTCAAAAGTGTCCTCCTCCTCTTTGCTCTTGACGTTCTCGGCTACCGCCTTCAGCAAATATTTTTCTAGTTTTCGAAAAAACATACGAAATTACATTACGACCTCAAGAGACACGGTGACGCCCACAAGCCCATAATGGATTTGGTTATTGTCCTTTCAGAAGACATGCTAGTCAAATTGCCCTGGACGAGGAATTTTCACTTGAATCGTCATCATTGTGGCTCACATCGACTTCCCAGATCACTGATCACTGATTGACATATCTATTCAATCTATGCAGCGTCTCCCGGAACAAAGAGCCTTCGCTGAGGTCCAAGCATCGAAGATCCAAGGAAAATAAAGTAAATTGCAAAAACCTGTTTCAGCAGAATAATCATCACAATCAATGACGATTATCCTGTCGGCCAGATACAATAATCGAATTCTCCTATTTCCTTATTCGAATACCGGCTATTTAAACGTAATTTGCAAAAGAGAAACATGTCAATTATAATATTTCCTAACTGATCCTGATAATGCGAGTCTAACTTATTGCAGCGATCAATCATCTTAGGTTCTCCTTTTCTACTTTCCCTTTCATCCTGAAACTAACAATTCACACTCTCATCTGTATTATACGCTTCTTCCGATTTTAATCTCTTTATTTTATTATTTCGTTGTTACTGAACGTTACATTCAGACTGAAGGCCTGCAAATATTTATAGACGTTTTTAAAAGATCTCATGCACTGGATATGTATACAGAAATTCGCTAATCTATTCATATCTGAATTTGATATTTTCGACATCTGTCATTGTAGACTTCCATATGGTTAGTCAACCTCTTCGCATGTATACTTTCAATCCTGAGTGACGTTTTATTATATTTATAACATTCGCAAACAGGAAGTTTATGTTTTATTCAGTCGAGTCAATGCCCATTGTGAAAATTTCCGACAATACATCACAATGCACCATTTCTTTAGTCAGAGAATTATATCTCAACAGTGTATCTTCGTTTGAAAGTAAGTAGATAATAAATAAAACTAATGAAAGAATAAAGATATCTAATCTACATGATTTCAAATATTTTTCAAGCTTCAAGTATTGTTTATATAAAAAAAATGTACCTATTATGCTTTTCAGACTTTTGCAGCTAATATTCATATTCGAGTCATGTCTAGTAGAGTTTAGTTTGCCATATATGTATGTATGTACTTACTGTTTATTGAGAGTTAAGGACAAACGTAAGAGAGGTTAACATTTTTAATTCTGTCGTTTTGTTCGATTATTAACACAATAAAGAGCCATAATCGTCAAAGTAATGATCAAGAGAATTTTTAATTACTTACATAAAATTTTTACAGGCCTTCTCCGTAGAATACGTTTTATTCTAGTCGATCGTATCACACCTGATTACAAACATTTCCAACGGTCATTATAGATATCCACGAACATCGAAATCATGAATCTCATTCAGATCGTGAGGTCGTCGATTAAACCAATTTGATTTTTCTCACTACCTGCCTTTGTTGTACGCTTGGTTATCAGAGATGTTCAAGGTTCACGTGTAAACCAAAATTTTAAATCACACTGAAATATGTAAGTAACATGTATTCGTCGAACAATTTCTTTGTCTTAACTTCACTTCACTGTTTTGTCTTCTACCCCGTGGTGGCTGCGATTCATCCAATTAATTTGTATAGGGTGAACGCGGAACTAGGATACGTCGTAGAGCATAGCGCGGCGTCTCGTCTAAGACTGAACTCGTGGACTCGAAGTTTTACTTGCGTTTTAGTTGAGCCGACTCGTGCGCGCGCTCGCTAAATCTACGATCGTGATAAAAATGGACAAGTCAGTTCAGCGGGAAGTTTCGTGCGTAAAAAAAGGGGTCTGTAATAATAATTATACCTACATCCCGAGATTTGTAAAATCCACTAATGGCTCAACATCTCGCTGTTGTATTATTCAATTTTGAGGTTAACAGTTACAGACATCGATCGAACGCGGGTAAAGTAAAAATATACTGTCTACAAATAATACCACCATGCCGACAGATCCCAATTATTGTCGATCTCTGAAGAATCTGGTGCGTTTTCTGATCTTTATAATGAACTCGAAGAGAAATGACGCAGTTTCACTATTATGCTTTTTCAATGAAGGCAATCATTAAGAATTACGTGACACGAGAATTCACTTAATTCGTAAAAGTAAATTTGACTGACGGTGCATTATCAACTTATACGTATGTAGTACAAATACTCTAAAGAATCATAATAATATTTGTCCATGTGTAAATCTTAAAATTAATCCAAATGACTTTAGTAAAAGTTTCTATAAAAACTGATCAATACTTTGTTTTTTAGTAGTAGAACTTGACTGACTTATCATTTGAAATTTAAAAAAGCGAGCGACTTGAAATTTTGAAAGCATCAATTTCTGGAAAAGATCTTGTCCTTCGCACGGTCATTATATCATATAGTGGATATGAGGACACCGTCTTGACGATCCAATTAATTCTAAAAAAAGCCGCGTCTTCTCTTAAAACTTTGCTGCTGAGAGCCCAAGTGCCATCTATGTTGTCGCACGTTCAGCAATATCGAGTTTTGAATGAGTGGCACCGGTATGCATAACAATAATGTACCTATAACAATAACGAATGATAAAACAGCGAGGAAATGAAGGTAGCAACGTTGACTCAGGTCTCGTTACAGTCGAAGACAGTGCAGCCACACCTACGATCCAAACAATACGGAATTGATGCTCGACACAAGGGATTGATTGGTTCGGTCATTTTGTTATTGTATTTATTCTACGTGAGTATATGTTAAAAGAAGAAGTGGCTGGGTAGAGTAATTATCACGATACTATAAGTGTCGCTTTAATCCGACCAAAGTGGAAATGTGGTGGCGGATTCTGGTAGATTTTCCTGACCCAGTATTTTGACGACCTTATCGGACAGTTTTATGAAGGAAAATGGCGATAACGTTTCAGCAGGTTTACGGAATCTCATATCATCTCATTAGTCAGTTTATCAAGGTGCGTATGTTATTGTCAACTGAAGAATTCACAATTTTCAATAATGCACGATCGACGATATCTATTTTTTTTATTTAAGTGCAGTAATCTAATCTCGACTGAACTGTTGATTTGTCCCTTTGAAATATATAAATTGATATGTACTGAAGTTTTTTAAATCATCAGTCTCGTAATATTTAGATTCCCTAAATTGACTGGTCTGCTGAAAAACTTCTAGCAAGTAACTCGACTTCTGGAAGAATTGTATAGCTTATCATTTGCAGATCGCATGTGCCTCTTTCGTTCGCAACTTTTGACAGATACTAAAATTTTATAGTACAACAGCAGATTATAATATACAATGCTTTTCAAATGGAGTACAAAATCCCGGGTGAAAAAGCCACGTTCACCAGCCACAGTACTACACAAGGGTGAATTGCCAATAGACCTTCACAATAATTCTAGCACAATACATTCTTTCCTTTCAACGTGATCATGACAATGATAGAAAGATATCATGGTACGCCCGAACGTGCATTCGAGACGGAGTCGAACTTATACACGTGATGCAACCGGCTGACCAAATGGTAAATTATTATTTTAATGACGAACACAAAGAAACAATTTCCATGATATTGAATGGAATCGTGCTAAAAAAATGATTATAAAAATTGTAACGCGGTCAAATAATGTTATTGATTTTGGCCATAATAAAATTACAGCTCCTAAAAAAACTGCGTTGGTTCTCGAATAAAGAGCTTGAACATTGACTTGCTATGCTACTATTAACCCGTGGACCCACCATAAATACCTAATATCGTTAATATCGACAAAGTCGGTATCGGAATAAGAAGCGGCGACGAGCGCAGACATTTATTAGTATACTTATTGGAAAGGAGCAAAGGCACGGAAAGTATTTTCAATTAACGAAATCGCTCGAAACGATAAAATACGTCAATACAACAACGTAATATCGACGTTTCGAGTAAACTGAAGAATAGAGGGCAAAGCCAGGCGCCGATACTCGCGGCTATAAGTAATAATGAAAGAAATGGTCTGGACAAACCGCCATGATGTTCGAGAGAGAGAAAGAGAGAAAGAGAGATAGAGTGAACAGAGACCCAGGACGAATAGCCCATAACAATTTGGGCGAGCACGGGCCTCTAGCTACGAGCCGCGTAAATAGAGCAAGAAGGATAGATAAGGGCTGTGGAAGATCAAGGAAGCGTCCATAGCCATGGAACGTGCTTCCGAAAGTTGCCAGTATTCTTATGATTTTATGAAATATGCTTTCCTTGACTTCCTGTAATTTAAGATGAAAAATTCAACTGCAACACTGACATCCAAGGTATCGAGTAGTTGTTTGTCCGAGACACGAGTAGCCTAGTGCATCCTGGTAAATTAGACATCAAAATAAATACGTGGCCATATGAGCTCGTACGTGAATACATGATAGGCGACAATTTGAAACAATTAGAGTTACGTGGATTACATTGATCCGACTAGGGTAGAGGAGTGAGGGAGAAAATTCGCAATTATTCAATCAGTTGCTCGAGCGTTTTAAGCATCGCATCTCCAGTCCGTAGAGGGAAGAGCGACGAGTAGTCAGCGTCAATCCAGGCAGCATCCTTCTCCGTGCCGCAGTGTGTCACAGTGTCGGGCCCTTTGTCTTTCCTGACTTCGGGACTTCCTAGCCACCCCGGAAGTGTAAAGTTGCCGTGCAGTTCGTTTTAAATTGGCACTGTATGTTTAGCAGTTAGCCGATAGAATTCTTGGTGCTCTTGGAATATAGCGCATCCAGTTCTGCACACTGGAGCCTCTTTAGGAATGATAGTATCGATTGCTGATACATGAAAACTCCCAACCAGTTTTGCACCGTTTGACAAATAGACGTGAAATACGAAAATTCGAATTACAAAGTAATGGAGAAAACCGAGATGGACCAGGAGAAACTTACTAGATCTTTCGACTTCCTCGACTGCGTCGTCTTCGTGGGGATGCTAGGCGTCTCGGCGCTGGTCGGTGTCTACCAGGCTTACAAATCACGAAAGAATCCTGATGCCGTCAGAGAATATCTCGTTGGTGGGCAGAACATGTCTATATTTCCAATTAGCATGTCTCTTATTGCAAGGTGAGCATCCTTCCGAAAGGTTAGTCAAACGTCAGATAGAAATTCTTCAAATTCTTCGAGAGAGTTCGTGTGATTGGAAATGAGGATGAGGATGGAAGTCCAAAAATTAAAAAAATGCATATCTAATGGTGGACGTATTTTGAAAATGACCACCTTGAGAGTAAATAGACATTGTGTAACTTTGAGTCTCAATTGCTTACCAAGGTTTGCTGCTCGACTTCCTACTATTATTGGTTATTAAAGTTCATCATCCACGTGCTGCGAGCACGAAACGAACCAGGTAGCAGGGCTTAGTGGCTGCGCGATACCTCGTCTTGATCCTCGTATAGCGAGTAAACGCAATCGAAGAGCAAGATCAGCAGACGACAGTTACAACAGTTAGAGAATCACTAAGAATGAGTTGAAAGAGAGGTAAACAGCCAGACTTAAATTGGACGTTTGTCGAGTGTCGATTAATCGTCCTCAATCTCATCCTCATCGCTTGTTTCCAATTTAATCATTTTATTAGTTCGACTGACCATTCCCTCTCAACTGGCAATGGTTAATGCGTACGTTATTTATTATTGCAGTTATATTTCGGGTATAGCCATCCTCGGTCTTCCAGCAGAGATGTATGTATATGGTACACAGCTGTGGAGCATCGTAATAGCCGATTCCTTTGTCTCACTCACAATGGCCGTTGTCTACTTGCCTGTTTTCTACAAACTTCAGATCACATCCTCGTACGAGGTAACAGCAAGACAGTTAAAACTAGAATTCCAGTGAAGCCTTTTCTCTCTTCTTCATTATGTCTTACTCTTTTGACAAATGCTTCGTTATTTCAGTACTTGGAGCTAAGATTCAATCACACGGTGAGACTTATGGGTTCTGTTATATTCATTATTAAAATGGTGAGTCAAATCGTCGAGCTCGGAATTTCAATGATGCCGTCTGGGTGCAGAATTGAATTGGTACAAAATATTTTATTTCATCTACGACCCTTCCTCTTTTTCAGCTCCTCTACATACCTTTGGTGATCTATGTTCCGGCATTAGCGTTCAATCAAGTAACTGGCATAAACTTGCACATGATTGCATCTTTGGTCTGTGTCGTCTGCATATTTTATACAACTTTGGTAAGGGGACACTGTCTCACTCGATAGTTGAAACATTGAATACTCAAAAGAGTAAACTGTAGTACAGAGATCGTTTATCTAGAAGACAGAGACGGGTTCTCGAACGTCTGACAAAAAGTTTCATGTATTTCTAGGGTGGTCTGAAAGCCGTTGTATGGACAGACACTATACAGACTATCGTGATGTTCGGCGGTGTAGTGACAGTTGCTGTTTTGGGAACAGCTAAAGTCGGCGGCATCAGCGAAGTTTGGCGCAGGAACGTTCAGTCTGGAAGAATCGAATTTTTCAAGTAGGAACCTGTGGGGCTTTGTACCTGTTTCACTTGTTAAGGCTGCTAAAAAGTGACTAGAGTCACGGAACAGGAAAATCAGTCATTCAAATTGGACTGAAAAGCTTCACTGGAACAGAACAGAGCGCTTTTCTCAATACCCTTATAATTCTGTAGATTGCAGTTTCATTGAGAATAATAAGAAAATGAAGTTACAAGATGTAATTTCTGAATCAGCGTCGTCTGGTCTACTTTGAAACAATTAATGAAACTCAAAAAAACTGCAATGTAAAGAATTTTTGAAGAGTCTTGAAAAAGACGCTCTGGTCCGTTTCGATAAAACACTTGAGTCCAGTTGGAATAATTGGTGATTTTCTTGCTCCGTGACTCCAGTCACTTCCTAGGAGTCTTAAGAGCTATTTATTACTGAAAACTCACTTACACCTGTGCGATTGTGTGTACGTCGTGTGTCACGTGTAAATATAAGCCAAGTGGTATTGTTGCCACTATCTCAGAGTGTCAACCATTCTCAATTGTTTTTAATTGTTTAATGTTAATACGAGTGTGTGGTATTGCTCTAGCATGGATCCAGACCCAACGGTGAGACATACTTTTTGGACTGTTGTAATTGGCAACTACCTCAACTGGCTAGCTTCTTGCTCGGTCAATCAGGCAATGGTACAGAGATGCTTAGCAATGCCAAACTTGAAGAAAGCCAACATGTGAGTAAACGTAGACTTTTCGTAAATAGACTTTCTTGTCGTTGGATGCCGTCGAATTTTTAAAACGTCGTTTGAAAGGTGATATAAGTTTGTAGTTTTCTTTTTTTTTTGTTACAAACTTTAGGAGCGCATCTTTTTAAAAACGCCTTCGGTAAGCTGGTATCTTTCTAGAATACGAAGTTTCGAGATTTTTCTAGACTTTTATGCTGGAAATATCCGAAAGACTGAAACTCTTGCTAGTGTATTGTGGCTACGTAAAAGAGACATAAAAGAACCCAAGATTGAATAGTTTCCCTTTAATACAAGATTACGTTATCGTACAAGTCGTGCAATTCCTATAAACTCGATAATTCGATATGATTAAACCCAAATCAATATTGACTAATACCGTAAAAGGATAATTCGATCTGGTTGTATGATAATATAATACTTTTGGAATTTCTAGTACGATCATGATCATGGCTGTTGGTATCATAACGATCGTCTCTATGAGCTGTTATACCGGGATCGTTATTTACGCAGCGTTCAGCGAGTGCGATCCTGTCACGGCGAAGGTATAATAAAATTTCAGCAATTTTCAATAAAACATAATTTTCAATCACTTTAAATATTTTGCAGCAAATAAGGAAACCCGATCAACTATTACCGTATTTCGTAATGGAGATCGCAGAAAACGTGCCAGGATTACCAGGCTTATTCGTGTCCGGGGTGTTTAGTGCAGCGTTAAGGTATTTTCCCGAGAGTTCTATTATATAGTAGCGAAGGAACTTAAGAAGGCGAGAGAGAAAAAAGCCATAATAAAGATAAAGAGAAATGTACTTGACTTGATGGGGAAGGCAGTCTAATACAAAACAGTGAAGATGTTTTCCTTAGGATATATACTTTATCGACATAGCGATAGTAGCTCTCAGGGAAATTACAGTAGAAATAATATTTGTCCGAGTGCAAACACGTTATTTCGTAATGACGTACAACGGTGGTGGTTCTATGCAGCCTCAATGTGGATTGTCGGTTCATAGTAAAAACACGTCTACCAATATTGTAATATCAATTGGGAACATTGATACAAAAAATACGTTGCTACTTTTTAATTTATTGGTAAATAATAATGAATCTACTGTACCGACTCAAGATACACAGACTAGAAATACGTAGATGAGACTTCTAATTTTTTTTCCCGGTTGGATTTTAAATGTACAGACAATACAAAACAAAAGACATTGATGCTAAATCAAATTATAGCCTGCTTAAACATTGGAAACATTGCAATAGTAACTCATTAGAGTCGCGTCATTACATTATCAGTGTTATATACATATGACACGTCATCATTAAGTAAGGAGCTATGAAATGAAACCGATTATTTCCTTTTTTCTCTCTCTCTCTCTCTCTCTCTCTCTCTCTTTTGTTTTGAAGCACCATGTCCACTGGGTTAAATTCCATGTCCGGTGTCATCTACGAGGACATGATAAAACCATTGCTGAAGAAACCCATGGGCCAAGTTGCTGCCAGTCTTTTGTTTTGAAGCACCATGT